AAATAAGTTTTCAACATCGATGCCTTGCTGCCAGTTAAGAGCATTATCGTGGGTTGTATTATCGGAACATGCTTCGGTCCGATGTGATTCCGAGGAATTAAGACCAGAGGACGAATAGGTTTTATGACCCTCCACCGATGATATGGGTTAGACAGTTGATTCTCAGTGTGTGAAGTGGACCAGTGGTGTCGTGAACCACACTCAGAGCAACTGCGACTGTCTAAGAGTAGCCCTTGCACTACTCATAAGGTTGCTGAAAACTCTTCGGCCTTCAGCAAACTTATGAGTAGTGCATCACGTCCATACAGTGTATCACGATGTCCGAATATTGTACCAACTGAAACACGACGCGGCCTATTGCAGCACATTCAGTTGCTCAAGAACATCGTAAACAAGGGATTCAGCTGGGTTCCAGGTGAGTCACCCGTCCAAACCAAATTGGTATGCAAATGAGTGTATTTCGCCAAGATTAGCTCTTATTCGAACTGTGTGACAAGCCACTAAGGCAGCAGACTCTGCAATTAATACATAAGGATCTCTAAATTCACCCGCACGAGACTTGGAAAAGACTATGTTGTTTCATCGTCACAGCAGTGGTTCCACTCAGACGTGGGCGAAGAAAAGGAGAGGATGGCAACTTGTCACATTGTCACGTTGTCACATGGTCATTTTACCGAACAATACAGTCAGAGGTGCCGTGGTGACCTACACTTCCGAACAGCATTGAAATGGATATGCCTGAGCACCACGTTTGACTGAGACATCATCGGTGGAAGTGAATGAACTTTATTCAAAACAATCCAAATGTTGGTCGACAGACAGCTAGTTAATCCGGTTAAGAGTTGACATATTCATCGCCACTAGGGTCAGTTAGGTGCCACGTCCAGTAAGGTTGCTAACCATATGCAAGAAAATCGAGGGCAAAGAAGGCGTGAAGATCTCAGGGTGCTCAGCTGGACAGTAGGCACTTTGGCTTCGCGCTGTTGTGTCAAGACCTATCCGCCGCGAAATGGGTGTGTTCAACGGGTATGACGTCAGTCACAACTTCTTGCATTGAGTAGAATATTCGCTGTTCTAAGAACGCCTTCCAGAACACTTTGGATGGACTGTTTCAGATACCACAATCTGGACTCCACAGAACAACCAAAGAGGCCATTTAATTTGTCTACAGTAGATCTCATGAAGCAGATCGATGCACTCGAGAGGGACTGTAATCACTAACCGTTTGTGTCCGGACTGTGTTCGCCATCGGGAACACCACGCTGGTTCATTGAAGCGATTCGCTGTGCCAAAGCAAGACAGATACATGCTGCATCAGCAGACAATTTCGAATAGCGTTTCAGCATCACCGAAGCACTGAAAAAGAAACGTTGTGAGAAAATTGAAAACCCATTTTCCTCAGATTCATGGCTAGACCGAACATTGGTAGCCAGAAGTTACAAGCCTAGCATCGTATACAACTGGAGTCACCAATATTCACCACCATGGGATTATCTACTTACCGTCCGTCCGATTCGGTGGAGGCTGAATCAGGAGGTTCTGTCGGGTAATCAATGGCTTGCCGAACAACACCTTCGGGGAGCACCAAAGGCTGTGGGGGTAAGGGAAGTTCAGTAGAAGCACGTGAATACTATGAGAAAAAAATCGTCCAGCTGTAGCGCCCTTTCGGTGCCTAACTGCCCCCAATACCATAAGAGGCAGCTTTATGCAGAAATGCCTAAAAAATCGTTCAGCTGTAGCACCCTTCCGGTGCCTAGTTGCCATGCCACACGAAGTAGGCACGAGGGGTGGGATACTGCCAGGTTGCCCAAGCCTAGACAGGGGAAGTCGAGAGGCAAAGGTCGGGTTCGAACCATGGACCTTCCGGTCACTCTAACCACTTGGGCCATCTCGCCCCACCAAAAATCAAAAGTGGGAGATTTCTCATCAAATCACACCTCAATCCATGCTCCATCACACTTTTAATACAAAAGGGAATTACAATCCCAAAGGTGGATACAACCATATGTCCACTGGACAGAGTAACAAATGGTGGCCACACCTCTCTTAAAAGCTTATTAGCCGATAATATGGTTGTCTGGTCACGGAGATGAAACCGCTAGGCAGTAACTCAGACAAGCATTAACAGGAAAAATGTACATGATGAATGAAGGGCGTTACCCCAGCCTTGTCAAATACATTGTGTGTCTGCACACAGCTGTCGCTGGAAAAATAAGACCGGAAGTAGTAAACCATGGGATCTACTCACAATGGGGAGGGGAAATGCTTAAAACCGATCAATAAGAGATGAGGGTAACTTCAAAAAGTTGAGAAAATCCATACTGAGCGAAATGCAGTAGATTAAATTGGAGCGCGATTGTGAAATGAAATGAAATGCGAGCTATTAAACACCGGTAATCGGAAATATCAGAGAAACAAATTCTTTAGCTGTGGCGCACAAACCCCATTAATGTTGTGGGCAAAATCGCTGATTTACATGATCCAAACAAACAGTTCCCCATACTTCATAAGGAACGTTCCTAAATCTGGTCGGCCGATAAAATCCACCTATCGCACTTCGATTGGGCTCGATCACACCCCTCAGAAACTTACAAGAATCAGCTTGCTACACCTTACATGGAAACGATTTGTGAGGGAACCGATGTGAGGCACACCTCTGGTTACGTCCTAATTAGGTATACCTCTGTCTGTCACGTATGCGCTCTCAAACAGCTTGCCCTGTGAATAAGGAGCACGATAAGTAGCATATGCATCCCATCTACGAGTTTCAAAGTAGAAACAGCTTCGTATGGGACGGTTCACGGCGCATCTGCTGTGTACGTCCAGCATGCTGGCAGCGAGGATATTATGAGCAACATAGCATGCAACAACATTACGGTGGTCAGCGGTTACTCAGGGCAACCGAAAGAATAATAACCAATAAAACATCGACATTTCGTCCACAGAAGCAAGAAACACTAGGCGATATGCGTCGTAGAAGATGGAGAATCACAGGTACAGATAAGCCGTATGGATGGGTACTCTAGTTTGCCAGTAGCAATCACCGGTAGATAATGCCAACTGCCGTCAAAAGTAGCTTTGTATCTCGTTACAGACCCGAATAAACGGTTCTGTCGTCACCACTACGACATGCATTGAGACTTAAACCACCGCATCTAGTCCAAGACAGGCTGTAAACCGCGTAAATGAAGTCTTGTGGCTTCAGTTTACACAGTTTTCGTAGCAATTAAACTGGAGACCCATGGGGTGAAGAAGGGAACCATTACGTAACCATTACTAACTACTGTCTAGAGTTCCGTTGGGACACTTTGCCTCAATGCATTTTGTTCTTTAGTTGACCGAATATTTCCGTCAATTCACCTTGGTTAGGGGCATTGCAATTGACGGCTCAAACGAGCGATGAGAGGTTGAGAAATGAGCAGAAGACTACATGCACTTCTTCGATCCTTCCTCGCACAGCGTGGTCGGTTGAACGTTGACCTGGAGGGCAGAAAATCGACCTGAAGAGTTGTGACGTGGTCGGTTGAACGTTGACCTGGAGGGCGGAAAATCGACCTGAAGAGTTGTATGTGCGACATTTCCAAATGTTTTCAGACAACCGGCCATTTCCGACCAGTAGTCCATACGATTTTTCTCAGCTGAACGAGTAGCCCGGCGATACAGACCTGGAAGGTGTCGACAGCTGTTGGTCGGACAGCTAGCTGGTTCTTTTGGAGGTCCAATCTAGTGGCACTGTAAATTCGAGTTTTGGTGCGACAGCCTGTTGTGTCGAAGTCTTCAGACCGGGTGATGACTATTCGACGGAGATTGGCCGCATCCAATGAGACAGGGGTAGCATGGTAGCCACCGGTTACTGCACCAGACAGTTTTCTGGGTCCTCGATGGAGCTTGTGCGCGTAGAAGGTTATCGTTCGAACAGTATTTATCCCCATTTTCTGTCCCATGGTGAAAACTAGTCTCCAACAGTCGAGGTTCATCGAGCTACTACCAGAATATAGACTGATTTGTAACCGGTATAGCTATCGTCAGAATGACGGGTGCATAAACACCTTTTCGGACGTTGAAAATGTGTGTTAGACGTGACGAGATGATTAAATGAAGCAAGGCTAATCAGGCAGCGTTTTCACCGCACTGTCGAAATTCAAACATCCAGAGGTAACGGGTGTCGTCATCTAGAGCACCAGTTCTCGCATTCTGGTTGGCTGCAACCAACAGTGTCTGGCGGTTAGGTGTGCGGTTCACCACTACTTGTAGATCATTGTGGAAATCATCCCAGACAGAAGCGTGCAGCGAAGAAGCAGGGGTCTACACGGCCAAAGGAACTTTGAATCAGAGAAGATGCAAGCGCCAAAGAAAACTGCAAAGGGTGTGATAAATGCCACACAGGTCCAAATTGACACTTGAGCCACTAGGATACAGTCAGTGAAAAGACTCCATCCCCAAGAATTAAGCGCAGCGTGAGTTATAATCAGGAATCCGTGCCTCCAAAAAGTACACAGAGTTAAGTTGGAAACCGGGAGAATTTCGTGAGGATCTGGCCGCGGATGCCGATGAGAGTACGAACACTCCGGCAGCTTTTATGCAACATGTTTCCAGTTTTCGAGAAAACAGAAGGAAGTTCAGTTTGCATGTATGTCATCGGGACGGCAAAGACAGTACTTGAAGAGTCAATTACCACAAGGAGAGCTTCGTACAAGGGTATAAGTAAGAAGGTGACATGGGGATATGTGTACGAACGCCGTACCCAGCGGCACACGGCTTTGACTTCAGGGTGTACCTCCCATATTTATACAGCGAAAAGCGGACTTCAAGACAGCAGGAGGAGTAGGTAGAGCAGAACCGTCAGGATCTTGAGTGGACCACATCCCACTGAGTCTGGTAGTTGATCAGTGTTGCTGCCCTAGCACTTGCAAATTCAGGTGCGACACGCGGATCAGCAGGGTCCTATGGTTCCCCAGGCCCACCATGCCGTTCGTATACCGATTCAGTCGAAATGCGGACTACCAAATGATTCATGCCCTAATCGTGCCACGTGAGAAACTCCACCTACCGTAGTATGGACGCCGTCGCGATGTGGTCAATCAGTAAAAATGGAGTTTTGTGAGAACGAAGATAGCTTGGCTAATACATCACACATTTATGTTGTGCCGGAAATCATGTGCGAAGTGTTGTGAAAAAATCACTGGTACGCACACTTTAGTGAAAGAAAAGTAAAACAATTCAGAGGAGGGTTGGATGAGAAATGCACAGACCAGTAGGTAACAGAAAAAATCGTTCAGCTGTGGCACTCTTTCATTGCCTAACTGTCATGCCACCCGAAGGAAGGAAGCACGAGGGCTGGAATACTGCCAGGTTACCCAAGCCTAGACAGGGGAAGTCGAGAGGCAGAGGCCGGGACCGAACCACGGAAATTCCGGTCAGTGAATTCGCGCTCTAACCACTTGGGCTATCTTGCCCCCGGGTAACAGAATCAGATAACTGACATCAATGTCAGACAAGTATGAGATCGAATTTTTCGCAGGCCGGCTCAAATTCAGAGGTCGCACAAGTTTCTTTTGGATGCAAACTTTTGGGTCTGACAATCGGATCGCAATCGCCTCTGCGATCGATAGTTATCTGGATTGTACCAGCGGTGGTCGGTTCAGAGGTATCCGGTATATGATATCAGAGGTGTGCCCATTTTCGATGACATGAGTGGTTTCGGCCCAATGTGATGCAAACACACTTGAGCTCGGTTGCTTCCAACTACCACTCAAAGATACAGGGTTGTGTTCTCGGCCTTGTCGTACGACCAACGTATGGTTCTCGGAAGGAGCACACAAATGAGTACACGCAGAAGCTAGTGGTAGAACGTGAGGATTTATCCCTTCCAACAGAGCCTGATAGTAGGGCTGGTATGGAAGCTTAAGCTCAGATTAGCAGTCATGAATGTTACATCAACGGAGTTGCTAGTCCTTCTGGTAACCAGTTCAGCAATCGAGTCACCTTTGAATTGGAGCCTCATACACGCGGGCTTCTTCCCAAATGAATATTGTTTGTGTTTGGGTTTTACAGATTGTGCAGCCTTGAGTAGGAAACGTTCTGCGAAAATGCGCGTGAGACCCGGCTGCTAGCCAAAAATCCATCATCCCTCGTTGGCACCACCACAAGCATCTCGGTAGCCAAAGAGCAATTGCTCATAATGACGGATTGAACTATCATGTGTCGTTTACGAAGTCATCCGGTATAAATTCCTAGTCAGAGGACGAAAATTAGCACATTGGGAATGTCTCACACTAGATAGGAACAGATGACAACTGGGGTTGGGGTTTAAAAGGATTCCTGTGGCTAATTAGAGCAAAGCACATCAATGAGACCACTAGATGGGAATCACCCACTAAGAAGCAAAGAGTAAGATTAGTGGAAATGTTGAGATCATAGTTTATGCAGAGGATATAAAAACATCGTTCGGTTACTACGTTGTCATCCCTCCAGGAGGGGCATGGCAATGAGGAAAGTTTAGGATAAACAAAGGGTAACTTACAAATGGGGGCACGGATGTTTCCGCAGCGCGTACAGCCAAGTGTTCCCGACCGCCGTCAATCACACTGGGCTCCGTTTGTATACCTGAAATGCACAAGCAAGGTAGGCAGTATAATGAAAAAACGGTGTACGATGTACGGCACCAGTGCAACGATATTTGTCCAGTGTGTACATATATCTAAAAGCTATCAAAGTACCGCCAATGTACATGACGCTGTAGATAAGTTCCGCTATTTCGGGGTTCGCAACAAGAAGTTGAGTCGGCAGATATCATCCCACGACTAACAGACACAATTGGACCCATACAGAACATATGCGATTGCGAACAATCTCATGTTATGTATCGAACACACTTATAAGACTCTACAAAGTGAAGTGGCAAGGACTTACATGAATCCAATGTGAACGGACGCAGTTGGTCTTCTTCCAATCGCTCCCTCAAGTGGTGCAATTCCAGTTCAAGTGTGGCGATCTGAGCGTCCTGTGATAAAATGAAGCCACGTGTGAGGTCAAACGGAGGCGTGGAAAGAGTATGCGAAAGTGCACAGCCAATATGATAGCAACTTACGTCAGTTAGTGCATCAATGATCGATACTAACTCAGAAAAGCACCAGGTGAAAAACTGAACTAGGACGATCTTTCAACTGGTCCCTTTTTAAAACATGAGTACAGAGGGGCAAAAGGACTCCAGAGTTGGAAAACATTTTGAAAGTTCTATTTATAATGTTCACTGCTGAGAATGACAGATAATAAATCAAACTAAGATGAGGTAATTTACAAAGTTCATGTGACTGCACACTGTCAACTAAGGACTTACTGAGATACGAGTGTGTTCCTTCAGCTGCGTAGAGGCCAGGACTTCTGTAGTGACCAGTTCTGCTTGCAGTTCCAAACAGCTGGTACACTAGAAAGGTGAGAAAACGTAGAAATGTATAGCAGTAGCAACACTCCACTTTCAGTTGTGTATAATAACATTTTCGATGCCGTCCAATTACCATCGTTATTCTGTTCGTGAACAGACAGACAGGGGCATTCGGTAGCATATATCTGACAAACTGAGAACTTCCGGTTTCTGACTCGGCTCGGGTAACCAAGCAGTGGCTTGGCCCTCGTGGTTCCTTCGGGAGGCATGGCAGCTAGGCACCGAGGGTGCTACAGCTCAAAACGTCTTAGTACCTTGGATTGAGAGATCCATTATGTCCTTATGAACTGATTAGCCCGCGTGGTTCCTTCGGGAGGCATGGCAGCTAGGCACCGAGAGGGTGCTACAGCTCAAAACGTCTTAGTACCTTGGATTGAGAGATCCATTATGTCCTTATGAACTGATTACTTCATTTTGGTCCCACCGAAGCATCAATGTTCTCATCCGGCGTTGCTATCAGTGATAATGATGACGAACATAAGTGGCAATAGTCGTGCAACAGAAGCCACCAGTAAAGTCACTCTCTCGGTTGAGCTTATCAAACAGACAGGTTAACTTTTGGGAACGACATCCGTTAACGCGTTTACCTGCAACTGTTAGTATTTCACACCGGCTATCGCCTGCGAAAGGCTACATCAGCTTTTAGGAAAGTTTGGAATCGCATACTCAAAAGAAAGCGTCGCAAGTTGAACTATCCGACCAATAGCTCGGGGTTTACCGACTATTAGGTGTTATGGCACCAATATGCCTTGCTCTAAATTCAACATTAAACAAAGAGCACCAGAGTCTGGAATGTCCCTTCTGTACGCAACACTGATATTATCGAACGGACTTCAAACGGATTCACTTGGAATGGCTGTGCTTAGTTGAAACTAAATGAAGGGCGACTTAAGGATTGTGTAACACTGGAGTCTAACTAGCACTTAAACGTGAAAAAAGAGTTCAATCCTATCGAAGATCTCGGATGATGCAAATCAATCGTTAAAATAGTAGGTAAACCATAATATTTTGCCTCAGTGACATCGTCAACGTGGATTTTGCCAGAAACCACCATATGATAAGTTACTGAACGGAAAAAAGCCAAATGATGGATGACCAAACGTGCTAAGTGCACGAATCGCGTGGATAAATGTTCGTTCCTTGACATATTCAGTGTCGTATTCTTTCAGCTGACGAAGAAAATACCCCTAACAGCAGAAAAGGAGAAAATTTCCCACTTCAGTCATCACCCGAAGCAAAACGCGTCATTCATCTCAGCAAGCCGCGAGTGACCCCTACACACATAAACACCACCAGTTGTATATTGCAGTGGATTCCTCGCTGATAAATACTTCTAACCCAGAAAGGGAGCAAGGAAGAGCAAGCAGCGGAAGGCTCAGTGGTGCTTATACGATCCGGAGAAAACAAAAACAAAACTGCCTACAACTAATGAAGGGTGAAACTTACCACTGTCGCTACACTGGTCCGCACAGGCGTTCGGTCTTCTCGATCGGTTTCTTCCTTCATATTCTCCTCGGGCTTGACCGAATCCGCCTGTATCTCAAACGAAGATGCCGTTTGCTCCGGTGAGACAGACCAGTCAAACATTCGCGTAGCACCCGGAGCAGTGGTGGGTAAAAGACCCCCAGATCCATCCTGCGGTTGACCTGGAGTGACTGCACCAACCTGGTAGGACAAATAAATGCAAATACCTAGCGATGCAGTGGTGAAGATAGCTAGATGGCGGGATGTCACTGAGTTTGCTTGTTAAAGTTTCACTCTACGTCTTTACCTCCAAAACAGGTAGACAGACTAGCAGAACGGGGTCTTCAAATAAGTTTGAATAAGGTCAGAATCACCTGGTTGTCTTTCGGGGCTCCGAACCGTGTCACGCAGCTCTGAGCTGGTTGTGAACTTAGGCATTAGATCAGTGGAGGACAATAGCTGCATCCCCATGGAAATGGGACCCAGTTGAACTCAACAACATTAATGCATCAAACCAACGTTGACAGACGTCGATAAGGAGCCAATACAACCGCAGATCTATCCATATGACTGAACCCCTCACCCCTGTCATAAACTCTGAAGCAGAACCACTTTTCGGGTTGACTAGGACGGAAAACAAGCCGGAAAACAACCATTAATTTTACCACCGCCACTATCGCCCACTGCTGTGGCGAAACAAGACTAAACCAACTTGACGAATCGTCCAGTGTTCTATCACTCGGGCAGGATAGCGTTCAAAGTAAATGGGTGATCGGATTCCAAAAAGCTCAGTTTGTCGAGCACCTTCAACCCTAATTGGATTCATTAGGTGGAGGTACACGGATCTGACATGTGATCCTTTGGTCAAAAAAATTCTGGCTGTTACTCGGACATTCTGACCATTCATCAGTGCTGGCGTCAAGTATTAGTTCAACATGGCTCCTACGATAACGCGCTGAAGTTGACACCGTGCTAAAGCCAGATGGCGATTTCGTTCATCAAGTTTGTCAATGGTCCACGCCCTTATGAAGTTGGCAGCAATAGCTGCGTTCACACAAGGCAACCAAACACACCTCATATGTTTGCATCAATATGGCTCACTTGTCAATTTCCAGTCCAAACTTCTTACGACTAACTGCGCGATACGACATCCAGTATGTATCCTGTTTTAAGGCTACGATCGATGGTAATCTAGCCATAAATGACGTAAGTCCAACAGCGCAAACACAGACCAAAATAAACACAACTACAACAGGACCAACAATGTCAGATGAGGCCAAAGCGTCAATCAGTAGTTGCTTCTGTCTGGCGACAATATTGCTGAAGTGTTGAGGGGTTTTCTAGTGCATCCACCTGAAAACCACTGACTACTACCATCGATTACTACCGGCGGGTTACAAACGTACGTTGAATCGACTTACAGGCAGTCTACTCCCTTCTATGAGGCAATAATCTGTTGTTTAATGTGAATGCAGGGTGGACGAACAAATGGCTGAACAAACTACCTAGGGAGAAGCGCAGTTATGTTTTAAAAAAACCCTGAGAAATGCTAGTCGTGGTAAACGAAACACGGTTGCACATCAGACACTTGTACCGAAAGGTGTTTGTTTGCGGAAAACTCAACGCTGACGGAACAGGACCTTCGATATCACACTGACGAATCGATGAACGGTGGTTCAACAGTATGAGCGAAATGTCCGCACATACTCCTATCACACCAAACTACTAGATTAAAATGATCGGCAGGCGAAACGTGAAAATAACCCACATGATCAGCTGTAAACTGCACGGTCCCCAAACATGAACTCAGCGACGTCACCACAACGAAAGCCGCTAGTTGACATCGCGTCACGTGATGTGAACGGCGTGACTACAATATGGCTGGCGCAAAATCTTGTCTAGGTGCAAGTTAATCATACTACTGACCAACCCACGCGCAGCTAATGGCAGTCTTCAAACTCCTATCTTGAAGGTTGGTAGCCCAAATCAAACTAGAGATTCGTGAAGCGCACTCATGATGACCTCCAACGAAGAAATGGTTATAAAGTGTTTCTCGTTATCTCATTAACTAAATTTCACTTTCCGAATATCATCACGGAAACTTCAAAATCGCCTCACTAGGGGCGAGCAGAAAAGTGCGACCAGTTGTAAAAGCTGCAAACTCAACACTAGAATGGATGGGATCGCTTTTCGTCAACTTTTCATCACTTATTGGGACGGCATCACTTCCGTTGTGCTCCAAATAAGAAAAGCGACTTATCTGAAAGAGCCTTGAACCCAAATACGACCAGGAGTTACGATACATCGAAAGCATTGATTACTGACAGTTGTCATCTTCTCAGATATACAATGGTGGTCGTAGCTCTAAACCATTGGCACTAGTGTTTACCGACCTCCTTCGATGACTAATCAATCCATCTTGCCTAAAACCACCCAAGCGTAGCTGCCGCCACCCAAATCGGCGAAGGAAACTATGGCAACGAAGACGACACCATGATGAAAAACTAGGATGGACATTTCAGCCTGGAAGTCATTCTAAAACACAGATATGACCAATATGACGCTTACCTTTTCGGCCAGATCATGCAGCTGTTCCGTTAATCCTTGGTCTGTACGTCGCGTGCTATAAAAGGGAAAGTTTGTGAAACTGAAGAGAGAAGCGACCAGAGAACAAAAAAACACTTGTTTAAGCAAAAAACAGCCAAGTGTAGTTATCCTCTTACCGCATCAGGCACGGGAGAAAAGCAAGACACTTCTCCAGAACAGGTCCTTTATTAAGCGGCTTCATATCACTGCCTTGTACTTTACGAAGGGCGGTTAGCACACCGGAATGCTGCGTAAAACTTGTACTACATAGGTATTTGACCATATTAACAAAACAGATATCACAGAATGTATTTCGTTAAGCGTACGGAGGAATGCCAGGCGTTGGTGCTCGAGAATGAGGCCCCTAAAGAGTTGTACGGTGTACGACAGATAGTAGACATGATAAAGAGCGCAGATGTTGGCACACCAGCGAGACATAGTGCCAAGGCTGAGGCATCATGTGGTCAAGAAGAGTGGGCCGAAAGAGCAAAAAACGCAGCGTAAGTGTCGCCCTCACTAGTCTGAGGAGAAAAGTGACACACGCGTAGCCATCTGATCGAATGATGGCATACCAATGGGTTAATAAAGAATGACAACTAGATCAGTACATTCCAAAGACCTATCAGCCCAGGTTCAACGAAACAGAATGTATGGGCAGCAATTCACGCGGTCAAAATGCACTGACAACCCCCTGAATAGGGACACGTGCTCTGCAACGGAGTAGATAAAGATAAATGGCACCCACATGTCAGTGTACCTGAAAAATTACCCTCAGAGGAATGGAAAGAATGTGACATCTGGAACAAAAACGCCACCCTGAGGATATCAGACGATTTTTTTTAATTATGAAGACGTTACTTTGCAATAGACAGGTAGTAACAAACGAGAACGTTCTTTCACCATCATCCTCATCGTCATCATCATCATCATTGACAGCATCAGTGTTCCATTGATTTTTCATAGTTTGACCTTGAAGATGCCAGGAGTTCGCTAGCACACATAAAAACAGCGTTTTCTGGGGGATATTGATATCCCCAACAGTTACTTTGCAATAGACAGGTAGTAACAAACGAGAACGTTCTTTCACCATCATCCTCATCGTCATCATCATCATCATTGACAGCACGACATCAGTGTTCAACACCGATGCTTCACTGCCATACCGAAAACATGCTTTGAAGCGTACGGAACAACAAAGTCTTGTCCGCCAGGCACCTGGTTTGGATTTATGTTCTTTAATAGGTTCGGGAATTCAAATAGAATATGAATAGCCTAGTAGCAGCTTGAATGAGGACATCCAGTCGACAGCAACCAACCTGACGGATCTGCTACCGTGGATTTTGTCCGTTAGGAACCCGATTTCCTGTAAAAATCCATCTCCACAATGGGCATGAGATAACAGCGAATGTGAAGACTGCCCTAGGCAAAATATGGGTTGTCTTAATAGTTTTTAAGTAGTAGGTAGCAACAAAGCAGATCTATCCACTGCTCCGAAAAGAGCAAGTTTGTTTCATTACAAATGTCCGGTGAATGGCCGTCAGACAAAGAATGAGTTTGCAGGTGCAGATGTGTGCTCTATGCCGAGAGAAAAGCCATACTCGTCAAGGAGAAAGTCATCAAACTAAACATCACTATGAGAAGAGGTCATCACCATCATCATCATCATCATCATCATCATCAACAAAGACAGCAACATC